TTGGAAGGTTACAAAAGCATCTCTGATCAAGAGAAACAGTGGCAATGGACAAATAGGAAAAAAAAATAGGAAATATGGAAAGAAATGGGTCAGCTGTAAAAAGGCAGCATATCTGAGCATATGGAAAGCTTGCCTTTCTCTTGGAAGGAGGAAGGAAGAGGGAGTTGAGTGCCTGTAACAGTGAGTGCAACGAAAATCCTGTCTCGCTGGCACTGGCTGAGAGACATTTGTTAAAAAGCCTCCGCTCTTCCCCACAGCTCTCCTCTGGTTCTGGTAGTGCATGAAATTGTTCTAGCAAACCTGCTAAAGGGCCTCTGCGCCCCTCAGGATTTCAGCTGTCAGGCAGCATAGAAGAGACACATCCTGATTATGCATTATCTGCTCTGAAAAGGAAGTGCACAGCAACGGAAAGGGATTTACAGTTCTTAAACAACAATCCCAGAGACAGGACTTGGTCAAGCAGTTTTGTACCAGCCAAGCTCCAGTAAACCAAGGCAGATGTATTTATTTATATTCCAGTCTCTAGATGAGACAAAGTTCTTTTCCACCAGTGAAGGTTAAAGTTCAGGAGAAGCTGGAATGGGCAAGGGGTGTTTCACTCAGTAGTTTTCAATGCATTTGCTGCTGCAAGTAATTAAATTTAATGACGATGCTGACATGCCTGACGTCTGGAAAAGTCAAAATATCTTCTAGTTCTGACCCTGCATGTGTTTTGTGATGTGTGCTGGTATTCATGATAGATACTATTTGGTTTGCATAACAGTGCGTGATTATTGAGCTCCAAGGGCATGCACAGAGGGCATGCTGCTTTCTACATTTCAAGAGCTGGCTACCACTAAAAGGGAAAAAGATCTCGTGCAACAGCAGCGTGAATGAGAAGACACCAGAAGCCACATCCACAAGATCTGTCTGGTTTATCACTTGCACTTCACTGTGTCCCTAAAGAAATTATATATTCTTAACTACTAAAAATTAAAAAAAAACACTGTTATTTTGAATTATTTTACACAGTCATGAGACTCCAAATCTGCCAGCCATATCAATATAGAGCAGCACTTTTCTCTATGAAGCAGTTAAGCCAAAGGAGTTATTCACAAATAAAGCACTACTCAGAAACAATAGTTCCAGGCAAAGCAACTTATGACAAACTTTACATAGTATTTTACATAGAAAAGAAGCTTCTACTGAGGATAGAGAAATAACACTAGACCGCTGATCTGTCTATGGAATCATTTRGTTTTGTGGTCTTCATGACACTCATGGATTTCTCCAGTTTATAAGAGAAAGGCAGTCCCTCCACCTCCAGAGCCCTTGAATATGAGCAAACATACATAATACCCAACCTTACCTAAGTGTCCTCTCACACGTGCATCCTCCTTAGCTAGCGTGCACTTCACAGGTCACATCTGATCCTCTGCTTTCCAGTGCTTACTCAAACAAATTTTGTGTCCCTGCCTGTTTTGYAGTCCAACCCTTCCTTACTGACAGAGATGATGATGTTCTTTTAATATTGTAATGACTTGACGATGCAAACTGTGAGGTTTTGTTGTCTTGCACTCAAATCAACAGGAACAGAGCTGATTGCACACAGTGTGAGACTGTAAACCCTTATCTATGACATATGTCACCCAATAGGATGACAATATTACCAGTAAATCCATACAAACCTTCTGGGCAGAGATTAATACAAACATTAGTTCCAGTTCTCAAGAAAATGTAAAAAAGCTCAAAACAAAACGTATCTTTTTAGAGCATTCAACCAGTCCTCCTTGGAGATGAGTTGAGGCGCTTAAGTTATTTCAGTTTATTCTGAACTTTCACTAAAAACTCAAAAGTACCTGTAAACCACTGGGAGAGAAAAAGCACATTGTACCAGAATGACTACCTCATTGTTTCAACAAGAGTCGAACATCACAAAACATTCAGTGATCCTGTGCTAAGCAACTCAGAAAAGTCACACTGGTGATCACCATTTGCTGCTTTTTTGGGGCTGTTTGTAAAAAGAGTGATTTACCTCTAGAGAGGTTAGGGTACAACACCAGCAGGTTCCTGATATCATACAACACATGGAAATATCCAATCTCCATATCGCACAGCACGTGGAAATATCCAATCTTTCCAAAAATCCAGTATCGCATAGCACATGGAAAACCAGGCAGGATATGAAAAGGAGCATCTCCTGTCACATCTCACTAACCAAGTCTATGTTCTCTATGAATATTCAAGGTTGTTACACTTTTTAATGACACTAGTTGCCTTGGATGGGCCTACTTAAACCGCCAAAYTGCTCCAACGTTGTCTTCATGCAAAGCATATCAACCTCAAAACATCTCCAGGACATAAAGTTGAGTATTTCAGATATGCTGGCTGCTAACCACACTGAACTGAAAGAGATGAGTCACTCAAATTTAAATATATTTTCATCTTTTAACAAATGGATCAACCTAAAAGAACAAAAGAAATGTTCTAAGGAAGGCCCCTCAGGGAACAATTTCTTCAGGAAAAAAAGCAGCAGAAGTTCCACTGGGCTCCTGTCCCGGAACAGCTCTATTCAAACGCTCTACCACTACAATTAGGTATCCTTTTCCCTCTTCTGCATCTTTGCAGGGCTCAACAATTGGCAAGAAGAGTTCTGCTAGCTCCTCAAATCTCCCTAAGCTATCCTGCTCTATTTCCTGTGCCAAACACAATACCCCTCCACAGTCAAGAAGAGACATTTTTGCAGCCATTTCAATTATACTGTCCTGCTGCACAATTACCAAGACTGTCCAAGACAACATGAAGCAACCTTCTTGCCTGTGTTCACCCCAGCACYTGTCCAGATCTGTATTCCCATTAATTTGACCACAGTCCAAACACTGGTTATTTATACACAGTAATGCAGGTGAATCCAACCACGGTACACTGTGTGAACCCCACTTAACATTGCCTCTAGCTGGGCATAATAATGCTCCTCACATAGCCATATTTCCTATTATTCGGACAAGTCCTTTATCAAATTCTACGCATCACCTGCAGCTTGCAGGCCTAGGTAACACAGAGCTTGATTAATTCCCTTATAACAACAAAAAATAAATGTCACAAGAGCAGAGATCATTAACTTGATCTGCAGCCAACTTTGTAATGTCAAAAAGTTACCTAAAACAGGTTATTCCTTCCCCAAGCAATGCTGAAAACGTTAACATGATTATTATTACACCTGCACTCATCTGACTACCTCCCCAGTGGGTGGCTTCTATTATTGTCAAAGTGACTTAACTATTAACCCTGTTTAAAGATGATCAGGCTAATTGGGACAAATTGCACGTTGGTCTCAAGACTGTAGTATAAATGTAGGTAACAGAGCTATCCGCAAAAGTGTTTTTGTTAGGTTTTTTTTTTTTTTTTTTTTTGGAAGGTTCACATTAAAGGCTATAATTATACAGAGACCTGCACTTGATTTGTAAGGTATAAAAAAAAAAAAAAAAAAAAAAAAAAGAAAAAAGAAAAAAAAAGTAAATGTACTATCCTTGCCAAGTTCAAAAACTGTCTATCTTTTTCTGTATCTCTCAAGACCACCCTGACTAGCAGATCTCTGCTAACAAACTGGAAAGACCTGAAAAGCCACTGAAAATTACTTTCCACTTCGTAATAGTTGGTAATGGAACATTCTTTATAGAAAGTAATAGAAAAGTAATAGATACTATACAAGATGTTCTCTGTGTGTTGGATTAGTTTAAGCTAGCATTAGCAAAAATAAATGCTCTGTTAGTAAGTCTTCACTGCACTGTTCCAGACACCCTTTGACAAAAGGCAATCTGAGAGCAGCTAGTCAAAATCTTTTCAAAAGACTCTGATGCCAAAAAGTGATTTGCTGAACCACACAATATTACTCACTTCTTTTTTTCTTCAAAAATATTTCTATCCTGATTTTCTTCTTTCTTTAAATTCTTTTATACCATTTTCTGGACTTATTTCTTGTCTTTCATTMATTCTTATTTTACATTTTTCTTTTCAAATGAGAAAGAAAAGAAGGGATGATGGAAGACAAAAAAAGCTACTAAACAATTAGTCACGAAAAAGGGGAAAGATTTGAGTATTTTTTCCCTCTCTTAAAATCCCCCACACCCTAATTCCTTTAAATTCCTGCAAACACCTGAACCTTTCATGTATCTTCAGTTACACTCTCCTCCCTTGTCAGGGCAACTCATGCAAAAATTAAGATTTTTTTGCTCCAAGGCCCATTCTTTTCTTAATCTGCAGGAAACAACATAAAGAAATTCTCATATGCAATGACTACCAAAGTTTGAAATCATGCTCTAACRATATACTACATCTATCCTAAAAGTTTTTCCCTGTTATCTTCCTCTGTTACCTCCTAGATATATCCTGGATGCTTCTCTTGCAGAAAGTCATTACAAGTTGTCAGGGAAAGGAAGGAAAAGAGAATAGTTCTCAGAGCGTCTCTCCAGCAGATACACCACTTACGCTCTTTGTAGCACGAACTGGAGAATAATCACTTGTTCTACCATTACAGGTACACATTTTAAGTTTAATCATCTAAATTTTCACTGAATTTCACGAAAGCACCCTCCTAACAAAATAAACGTGTGTTTCTTCCGCAGAACAAATGGAATTGGATGTTCTTTCTCATTGACTTTCAGTAATTTGCCTCTGAAAATTCTCTACAATTTAAATCTCTGCTACAAAATAAAGCCTCCATGACATGTAGCCAAGCCAAGTGGTGACAGGACAAGTGAGTGAAGTATGAAGTGGTGAGGTTCTAAAGCAGGTCTTGTCCTAAAACACCACATTTACTCTTGTTTTGATGCAATTCCTGATTCCTGTCAATGACCAAAGGAAGCGGCTTCTTGGGCAACCTCTCTGCCTCTTTTTCTTTCTTTCTTTCTTTCTTTCTTTCTTTCTTTCTTTCTTTCTTTCTTTCTTTCTTTCTTTCTTTCTTTCTTTAATAAAAATATTTAGTGCCACCTTAAAATATTAAACTCTGAGGCACCTCTTACCATTAGAGTCCTCCACTTCTTCAGCAGCAGAGTGGTTCTTGGAGGTGTGGTGGGCGTGTGAGGCTGCAAAGTTGACAATGCGGGGTCTTGGCAGTGTCAGTGCTTTCCCATGCACTTTCAAGGAGTGCTCTTTCAGCTGGCTGATTGTCATGGTGGAAAATGAGCAGGAGGAACATTTGTAGGCATGTTCACCTAGGTGAGCGAAATACAGGCAAGTCATCAGCTCACAAAAGAAACGAAATGGGGCCCCCATACTTCTCCTACTGAACTTGGCAGTAAAGCTCCCACGGATTCCTTCAGCGTGAGATTGATCCCATAGAGAAAAAGCTCTATGGGTCTCTGATGGAGCAGCCTGGGTTCTGCAGGTACAGACATCTGCTCTGGATGAAATCAACACTTTCTGCCAACTGTGGATGCTCGTCTAGTGACTGATGTCAAAGAACAGAGGCCAGACTCTTACTGTGCCTGTGTTGCATGGTATGGAAAGAAAACAGACTCTGGGATGAAAATGGTGTTGTTTGACCACGGCATTTCCGAATTTCTTTGGAGCACAGCAACTGAAGAGAGCAAAGTCATCCATTTTTGCATGCAGCACATCCAGTATTGCTACTCATGAAACAAGAAGGAGACACAAAATCTACAAAAAGTCAATGCTCAAAAAAAAAAATCTATTTGAGGAAGGTTGTGTTTTGCTTACGTGAAACCCRCCCTTAGGCAGAACTAATTTCCACAGAATCGGTAACCAACTCAATGTTGGTTTACTACAAAAGCTGGACATAGCAATACTAGGAACACTGCACACTTGCAGGGCCATGTGACAATGTGTTATGGAAAAGTCTTAAAAGAACTGAAAGAATAGAAATAATGAACAGTAGTGAATTTAATTCCAATACATTCCAAGCCACAAAGACAGGATACAAATCCCTGAGACAAGATTTGTTCTGCATTAAGTGTCATGGAGGCAACTGGAACACAAAGTGAAGCTTTTGACCATAAACAATGTGATATACAGATGACAAGTTATCATTTTGGAAGTGCCACTTCCATGTATAAGGATAACACTGGCCACACATGAACATAAAGTGCCAAAACTTTGGCATACATACAGGAGTGAAGATTTATGAACAATAACAGCAGAACAAGAACTCTGCATAATGAGCAAGCAGGAAATGTCTTCTATTTCTCAAAAAAAAATTAAAAAAAAAAGAGAGAGAGAGAGAGAGAGAGAAAGAGAGAGAGAGAGAGAGAAAGAGAGAGAAAGGGAGAAAGGGAGAAAGGGAGAATGGGAGAAAGGGAGAAAGGGAGAAAGGGAGAAAGGGAGAAAGGGAGAAAGGGAGAAAGAGAAACAGCAATTAAGTTTCTCAAACATATGTTTTCAACCAGAAAAGGAATAAGCAAATGAAAAAGAGTATGAAAACACACCTATTGCAGCAAATCACAGTAAGCACACATGAAAAGATTAGCAGCCTCCCTACATGAAGAAAAATAAATCCCACCCCCTCTTCCAGAAAAACTGTGCTTATCGTATGAAGAAAATGCCAACTTCTAGACAGCCTCTTTGATTCATCTGAAACAGAACAGAGCATTTAAGATGTGAAATAATGAAATAAAAAAAATTATTCCACTTGTGTTTCCAAATGGCATTTTTCAGCTGAATACTGTGTTAGAGAGAGGTTCTACCTTTCTACAAAGAGAATGAAAATGTTTTCCACACAGTATGTATGACAGGCTGCTTATCCGAACAGGAAAATGCAAAGACAAAAAGTCTCCACTCTTGCAGATTTCAAAACCCAAGTGGACATGGTTCTGGGCAACCTGCTCTAGGTGACCTTACTGGAGCAAGGTGTTGGATGGACCAGATGGTCTCCATAGGTCACTTACAACCCCAACTATTCTGTGAGGCTGTGAGAAAGAAACTCCATACTCCTAGAGGGCAGGCACCAAACATTAGCTTAACTCATCACAAAAAAAATAAAGCAAATAAGAGAATGATTACAAATAAAGAACTCAGTATGAAATTAGTGAATATACCCATTATCCAGCAGCAACAGTTCTTGTGGACATCAGGATGAGAGAATGTGTTTGATTTCAGAAGCAGGGCAATGGTTTGGCTCAACAGAGGGCTTCATACATTTTCAGTTGCTAGTTTCACATTTCATAAAATGATAGCATTAATACATAAATCAGTACATCTCAATTAACTTTCATGTGGGGCTGTCTCAACACCTGAGATATCCCCGGAGCATTATGTTCCAGATCAAATAAAATTTGAGCAGGGCAAACAGTCTGGCTTACAATCTAATTTGAGGTGAAAACAATTGACAGCATGTTTAGAGATACTGCAAACTATTCCGCTCCATGCCAAAGGAGATGGCATATACTGGATGAGAACAAATGCCAAAAACACTCACTGGTAACTGTTAGAGAAGCATATATTTCATAGTGAATGAAATTTGACCAGTCATCCCATTAAAGGGGATGGAGGCAGGTAAATTAAATGAAAGACTTCATGGTTTTATTGAGCTTTAAAGACCTCCCAGAGACTTCAAAAAAATTCAAAGGTATCTTGCAGGTTTCTGCTTCTTTAAATAAATAAATAAATAAACAAAGTGATGATTGATGAGAGAAATAAATGTGGTAACAAAAGAAAGACTCAGATAAACACGCTATTAATAAAAGACTGAGGAGTCGGAGGAAGATTATTCAATGGGAGGTGCTTCTGAAAGACCACCTAAAAGGTCAACAAAACTTTTTAAAAACTATGTCAGATGTTTTAGGTGAGGAAAGTATTTATTTTAGGTGAGGAAAGTGGACTGAGGTAGAACAGATCATAAGGCTTTGGAAACCCCCCTACCCAAGTCATGGGGCAAAGCATTCTTCGAGCTGCAATAGGCAACTATGCAATTGTGTTCTTGTATGATGCAAAACACGGGTCCACTAATAAATTCAAGGGCATGACTTCGCAATACATAAATCAATGACCTACACGAAAAGGATTGTAAGCAAATATTAGCTACATGCTAATCATGCCACTAAAATCTGCCAGGCTCAAACAAGGTAACAAAAAGTAATCCAACCGCGCAATGACATAAAAGAAAAAAAAAAAACTATGGTTGGCCAAGATAGAGAATATCGGCTCCTCCACACACCATCTGACTCCATAACCTGAAACTGCTGAATACAGGTACAATTCCTAGAAAAGACAGAATGTCACAGTCCCACAGAGGACCGGAAAACTTCAGATTAATCCACAGTATCCATGCAAGTACAGTCAAGTTTCCTGTTATACACTCTATCATCACAAAACAAAGCATCCAAGTGTGAATTTTGAAATCAACAGACGACATGGAGTAGAGCAGAGACCACCCATCCCTCCTGTATTTTTACAGAGGAGAAGTGCATTTGCATCAAAGACAACAGTTACCTACCAGCCAACAGTTACAGATTCCTCTTGCCTCCCACTTCCCATTTTCTCCATCTTCACCCTCCATTCTCACATGAGCACACATGTGGTGGAAACAAGCAGTARAGAAATGAATGTATTTATAGCACCTTGTCATTGTTCCAGGAGTTTCTATGTGAAAGTTCTAACAATTGGACTACAGGGTTTTTTTTCAGGTTGCCTTAGAATATGTGTTTGGGTGTGTTGGGAGTTCACTGTTKTGTAAGCAGAAAATATAAAAGAAGTCAGTGGAGCCACTGGTTCTTCATTCCAGTTTTCACATAACCTTTCAGTGCATGATGGTGCCAGGAGTCTATGGCTGAGGAATAAAGATCAGTGACCTACCAGGACATTTTGTGTCTCACACCTTTGAACAGCCAAAGGTACAACACTTTGTCATGACCTATTCTGTATGATGCATCACCTTCCCAATTCTTGTTCCTCAGAAGTATGTTTGYTTGTTTGCATTCTGTACTGCAAAACAGAAGTTTGCAAGAAGGACTTCCATGTATAATAACATAACTGTATCATTCTCAGTCTGCTACGCACACACCCGACTCCCAAAGTTTTCAGTGTTTTAACAAGAAAGCCACCACAAGATTCCATGAAACCAATCCTCAGTCATTTTCCCAGAATCACCTAAAGCACAAATATAAAAGAAAAGCTCAGTACCAAACAATTGAGACACCAATGGCATATRTGGACTGACTGAACACTCTTGGAAGCAAGCAAAAAAAAAAAAAAAGAAATTGATTTAAATAAAAGGAATAATAGAAAGATGTTCCTGAAATACTCAATATCAGTTTAAATTCTTGTTCCCACAAAAGCATTATCCCACTGATTACAAGAGGTGCACAAGCCAGCCAATCCTGACTTGCCTTTGAAAATCTTACCCAAATTTGGTGACAAAACAGACGACTGAAATCAGCATCTCTGATCAGCAACAAGCTTACAAGGGTCTTTTCAGCTGGTCAACTGTAAAACTGAGAGAGAGAAACTTACCAGCATGAGCTTTGAGTATATGRGTTTTCAGGCGGCTGTTATAAGAGGACTTGAATGGGCAGAGTTTGCAACGAAACGGCTTATGGTGTCCATGATGGGTCTGCATATGGCGATCCAGACTTCAAAAAAAAAAGCAAAGGCAGAAAAGGGAAATATATAATAGGGAATTATTTCAAATACTCCTTGAGATACAAAACAACATGCTTGGAGCAATAATAATTTAAGAAAGAGGCAGACTAAACTCATATATCTTTTTACATGCTTTTCTTAAAATCCAGCAGGTCTGCTTACAGAACAAAGTATAATCTAAGCTGAAGAAAAGCAGCAGAACTTTGTTACCAATTTTKTTACACAGAAAGCAAGGAAAAATTTCTTTAAATTAAATTACACCTGATTGCACTTTAAAAGACTAGTTGAAACAAAGAGGCAGCCCAGAACACCAAAATCATGATTACATTTTTTTTTCCTGGCAAAAGTTTTTGTGAAAATATGCCCTCTTTTGTCTTCTTGAGGGGAAAAAAAAAAAAAAAAGAGAGAGAGAGAGACAGACAGAGAGCGAGAGAATGAGATATTTTTGACCAGCTTTACTGAGGAAGCCTTCTTTTGGTTACAGCAGTAAAAGCAGATTAGAGATCCTGCTCTGGGGAGGGTGCCAGCAGGCTGCAGTTGATGAGTTCCAGGATTAAAAGGCAGCAGAGTTTCAGACAGAGCAGAGTGGGAGATCCTGCACGAGCCTCAGCAAGAGATGAAGGGGTGGCAAAGACCAGCTTCTACTTTCCTCAGAAGAACTGAAAGCTACCTGGATTCTGGGGGGGGCTGTTCACAACCTGCTAGCTCCACGGATTCTCCTAACAGCTCAGTGAAATTTTGAAGGAAAAAAAAAACGGTCTTTTTCCATAGTTTGTAAAACCATGTCAGATTGACTCTGTGTGAGCAAGTCCTCTGCAGTTCCTATGCTGGCTGGCAATCCCGAGTTCACCAGTTATCCAGGAAACAGGTGGTTAGCATCAGTTTAGGCTATGTGCACTTCCAGTACAGTATGTTCTTTGGAAACATTAATGCTCTGTGATTAATCTAGCTTTAGGCTCAGCCTCCTTGCTCATGGTGACAACAGTTAAGGGTAGATGCAGCAGGTTGAAGGAGAGGGAATTTGTCAGAATTTAGTAATTCTGGGCATTCCTCAGCCTTATTTYCTCTTACTTCACCTAAGTTGTCCTGTTCTTTTTAAATGAGTATTAACATCTCAATCAAGAGCTGTCTGTTCCAGCCCTCTCAAACTATACAGATCTTTAGTCCCACACTGAAAGAGCTTTAGTCAGGAAATTCCTGTTTACCAGTGCTAACACTGAACTCTGTGTATTCAAACATCTGATGACAGCAGAAAAAAACAACAACAAAAATACAGCCTTATGCCTCATCTCAAGATCACTTCCTAGAAATATAATTTAATGTAAATACRGCATAGGATTATAAAATTTATAGCTTTTCAAGAGAAATGGGGGAAAGAAAATCCTAAATATAAGTCAGTACTTTATAAAATAAAACCTGTTTTAAACAGCTAGTAGGGATGAGCTTATTTACCAATTCAACCATACTGCCAAACATGTATACAATAACATGCCTTAAGCTGTTGTACACAATAATACTTGTAACTATATTCACAACCAGATACTTTTTGTGAACAAGATTTTTTTCAATGGCAGGTTTTTAGGTTTTGGTCAGTTTTCAGGAATAGGCTGTTTAAACATCGGTTTGGCTTCTCTCTTGGACTTCACTTCCCAGGAGAGTGATTACATCAGATTCAAAAACACCAGCTGAGGCTGAATACCATTCCAACACTGATGCAATGTATTACCAAGCTAGGTGATACCTGTACAGTTCCTCGCTGTCACCTTTCGTCTCACCAATCCTTCCTCTTGTAGGACACCGCTTTATCCAATTCCTGTGAAACAGAATGACTAGGAACCAAACTCAGCACCAAACCGATTTTGGAAGCAACCCAATCTACTTGGCCAAGTAGCAGATTGYGTGAGGCATCTGAAATAGGGCATTTCCAATGCTAGTCTGGCCAAAGGAGATTGGGAGTGCTGAGTGGTACCCATCCTAGATATCCATTATGATACCAAACTGGGAGGAGTGGCTGATACCCCAGAGGACTGTGCTGCCATCCAGAGGGACCTGCATAGACTGGACAACTGGGAGGTGAGAAACCTCATGAAGTTCAACAAGGGGAAAAGCAAGGTCCAGCACTTGGGGAAGAATAACCCTGGATACCAGTACAGATTAGGGGTTGACCTGCTGGAGAGCAGCCCCGCAGAGAGGGACCTGGGCATCGTGGTGGATGACAAGATGACCATGAGGCAGCAGTGTGCCCTGGTGGCCAAGAAGGCCAACGGGATCCTGGGGTGCATTAAGAAGAGCGTCTCCAGCAGGTCGAGGGAGGAGATCGTTCCCCTATACACAGCCCTGGTGAGGCCACATCTGGAGACTGTGTCCCGTTCTGGGCTCCCCAGGACAAGAGGGATGTGGAGCTGCTGGAGAGAGTCCAGCACAGGGCTACCAGGATGATCAGGGGCCTGGAATATCTGCCTTATGAGGAAAGGCTGAGAGAGATGGGTTCAGCCTGGAGAAGAGAAGGCTGAGGGGAGACCTAATCAGTGTGCATAAATACCTCAAGGGTGGGAGTGAGGACGAGGGGGACGGTCTCTTTTCAGTGGTGGCCAGTGACAAGACTAAAAGGAACTAATGTTCAAAACCCGCTTGGACACAATCTTATACCACGTGCTCTGGGTGACCATGTGTGTGCAGGGGTCTTGAACTAAATGGCCCCTTTCAACCTGAATGATTCTATGATTCTATGATCCTATCCCCCATGCCCTTTCTTACTATGGTTGCTCAAGCCCAGGAGCCTTTACAACCTGGCAAGCCAAAACATGGTGTTCATTTGACATGTTGTGACAYTCACAAAAACCCTGCTTTTCAATCCAAGAGGTTTAAAAAATATTTTTTATCATACTTTCTCACATGCATTTGCAAAACAGAGCAAAAACTTCCCTGGAGATACATATGTAAGATATATACATAATTATGAATAAAATATTTTTTAAAAAAATCCAAATAAAGACAAAGCCAATCATAGGGAAATCAAAAGGAACTCAACTCTTCATAATGCCTAACTATGTATTTCTTCATGTTCTGCTTCGGTTAATGAAGTAAGCTAAGGATATAGATAGTGCATAAGGCTGGTGTGAAAACTACGTTCACAGACTGCAACTTAATACCATAATTAAAAAATGAAAAAAAAATCTAATTTTAAGATATGTTTACAATAGGTGTTTAACATCAGAAATGAAAAGGTCAAACATCAAAGAGTTGCGGTTATTAGAAACAAGGTAGCTACGTGTGTAGCACAAGTTCATTATATATGAAAGATTAACAAAAAATAGTTTTCTCTCCTCTTACTCGCCTGTAGAAAGCATTTCATGCTTTTGAAAAGGCTACAGAGGTGCCAGGCTTCACTCTTTGCTGACTGAGAGAAGCCACCTTTTGTTTGTGTGCATTTCCCCTACACACAACAAATAAAAGGACTCTAAATTCAAGAAGATACAAAGACGTGACCTTTTACAAGCGGCCACAGACAAAAGTCAAAGGTTTTAGTGCACGATGGAAAATATCTAAACATTGACAAAAATGTTGCTCAAAATCAAGTTGCGTGCACTCTTGGCGCCAACCTATAAACAGCAGTGCTAGTCTGTCCTTTTGAAGAAAATAAAAAATAAAAATTACTTACTTGTGCCTGAAAGCTGAAACAAAGGAGCAATACTGGCAGCTGTACTTGTCTTCTCGGGCGAACATGGCGAGAGCCAAGTGACTCCTCTCGTGAGATCGCAGACCCTGCATAGACATCAAAACCCGGTCACACTGGCTGCAGTGGTAGCCCCCAGGCCTGGTTTCATCTCCGAAGGATGCTCCAAATTCAACTTCTGTAAATTCTAAAATGCCAGGGTCTTTGGCTCCCTCACAACCCTCCATCAAAGTTGTGTTTGGAGAATCTTCAGCTTCCTGCTAAAAAACACCTACCCCCCCAAAGCCATCAATTCTCTCTCCCTTCTGTCCCTCAGTCTTTCCCATGTGTTCATTTTGCCTAGGCTTTCCAATTGCCTCATTTTTCTAAATATATCCCTACACAATCTCCATAACAATGGCTTTCTGAAAAAAAAGAGGGAGGAAAAATGTAATTATATACAAATACACATACATAAAGGTATAAAAAAAATCACAGTTGAATAAATCTGTTTTAGACAAGATAAAAAGACTTAAAATTGAATCATCAATCCTTCAAGAGTCTTGACACGAATCTTCTAAATTTAAATTTCATTTGATAAAATCAATAAGGTATGAAGCAAGTTGATTTCTGCTCACTTGCTCTAGCTCACCATGTAGCTAGTACAGAGAGCAGTCTGCTTTACTATATAGACTTTATTCAGTAGGATCAAATTCTCAAGAAAGAAGCTGGTCCTCTGAATCCTCTTAAAAATCAAAAGCAAGAAGTTTCTCTCTTGTTCTTTTTCCTAACTTAATTAGACCATAATGTATTTTGCAGCAGCTTTAAAACTCTTAAGAAGATTTGCACCAGGTTCTTCTACTCTTGGATTTTAGCTTTTGCTACTTGCTGTTTAATATCTATTTCTTCAAACAATGGCACTGATCCCACATGAACTTCTCTTGAGAAGCAGCGAGGAGGGGAAACAGTTTGATAGGAGCAAAGCATCTTAATATGTCAATAGTATCAGGTAATCTAAAAGAAAGTCAGTGGCAGGACAAAGAAAGCTCACTCAAGTAGCACGGGTTAGACTCTGAAGGACTCTGCTTCCTTAGAGCTGACGGCATGAAAGAGACACTGAAAGTTATGCTCTGAGAGCAGCAGGCATCTCTACTGAATGTTTGTTGCCACACAAGGATAAGAAATGCACAGCTAGTTTCTACAAGCTTATTGCACTTACAACTCCCCTTGCCAGTACACTGGAAACAACCAGACCACAGAGCAGAGTCCTTGGAGATGTGTTAGATGATATTCRCTTGCAGAAGGATAAAGAAACAACTTGTTTATAACTAACCACCTGAATGGGACCAGTGGCTGTGCTGGCAAGCTTGAATTATTTTGTTTGGAGCTAGCAAGACAATTGTAAAGGTGCACCACAAGCAACTTCACACATTTGCAGTAGCACATTTCCTCTTCTTCAACACAAAACACAAACAAGTTCTTTAAGAGTTTAACTAAAGGGAAAAGTAGTCTGCTGTTCATAAATCAGCCTTTTGGTCATCAATGACATCAACTCCTTCATGAGAAGAAATGAGAATTAAAGTCTTCATGTTCCTGGATTAAGAGCGGAAAAAAATTTAAAACAACTCAAAATGGACATCTCATGCACTGCAGGAAGTAGAAATGTTAGATTAGAATGTCATGCTGAATGGAAACCAGAATCCAGTCCAAAACCCATTTAACATCATGAGAGCCCTCCATGGGCTCAATAAGGTGTGAATTTCCAATGCAACAACAACAAAAATAAGGTAGTCATCTTTATTCATTTTTCTTTTAAAACTCTCACCTTCACTGCAGCTGACACAGAAGAGACATTTCCGTACTGGACATGCTTGCGGAGGTGATTACAGATGGCTCGGAGTGTTGGATGGACTTCCACACAAAATTTACATTTGTAGCCAACCACTTTCCTCTCCTTCAGCTTTGAAACATCTTCCAAGTGTCCAAAAGCCTATTGGAATACACAAGCATAAAACAATTTACACATTGAAATTCACATTTATACTTTATTTTTTAGGAATACAGACCAGATTTTGCAACTGAAACAAAGTTATATTTAATATAACAGCTCTCCTGGTTCACAGAACCACAATTTCTATTGATACTTATTAAAGGCTCCAGAAGTGGACAAGATGTCTGCACAGGAGGAATAATAATCATAATACAGGAGGAATAATAATCATAATAATCATCTTCTAGAAGATGGTTCAGTTTGCACTAGCAAGGGTAAGCCACTACTCCTTCAAAAACTGTGAGGAGTTTTCTATGGCAAGTACAATTATTCTAAGCTGGAGGAGAAGTAAGTGGGAAATGGCAGAAAAAGAGGAAGATTTGGTTTTCTACTCATGGTTCACTCGTGCAAAGCTTCAATCATCAGACATTAACATGATCAGAATCATGTTAATACTAAGCTCTATCAGAAAAAGCATTGAGACAAGCTTGAGAAAGAAACTGGTGGGATTACTGTTTCTTTATTTTTTGCTGTTTTGTTTTGTTTCTTATACTGAAGATGGGAAAAGGAATTTTTTAAAAAGAATTTACAAAAAAAGTACAAGGCAGCTTTGAAACAAAAGAAGTAACTGTCAGATACAGATGGCCTTCCAGAAGGGTGAGGAGGAAGGAAAGAAGATAAAGAAAATACTGGAGGAAGCAGTAGGAAGGAGCTGGGCTTCCTGTGGATCTAAGATGGGGTGGAGAATGAAGGAAAGGATGAGGAATTTAAAGTAGAATGTGTTAATTGACTTATGGAGCTCACTGCAACGCTGAGTCATTCATTAGCCTGTGGTCATTTGGCTGTCAAAGAGAACATGCAAATGGGCATTAGTACTTAGGAGCCTCTTGGGGTCAGAAGGGTTGGGTTTTGTTTTGTTCTTTCCCTTCGGAGGGAGCACAGGGCAGGGAAGGAGATCCGACACACAGAAACTTACCCTCTCTTGCTTGAAATCTGCAAAAGCGCCCTCTGCGTATTTCTGCTTGCTCAGAAGCTGTTTCCTCCTCTCCTGACGCTTGGCACGCTTCTGGAATTCCTCATTGTGGCTGTTCAAGTGCGCGGTCAGCTCTGCTGTGCTATGCAGCTTAGTATCACAGTGCTTGCACTGGTAGACGGCGTTCTGCGAGCGGGTGCCACTTCCCAGTATGGTAAAGTCTCTCTTCAGATCCTTGCTGTGGTGGTCAGTGTAATGCATGCACAGCAGCTCTGCTGTGCTGAAGGAGAGCTTGAAGCATTTTATGCACCTGAAAGGAAGCCACTCAATTTCCTGAGCTTCGCTCTCCACCTCAGGCTTTTCAAACTCATTCCTCTCCTCAGCTGGAGCTGGCTTTTCATGTTCATCAGCATACACAGCAGTGAAGTAGCCCCCCAGCTTGCTCGCGTGCTGCTTCTTAGGGAAAACACCAGGGTGACGCTTCATGTAGTGGGAGACAATACCCTTTTTGCTAAAAGACTGGAAGGAACAAAGGGAGCATTTCTTCTTCTCCACAGCTCTCCTCAGCTCCTCGCTTAGCTGGGGAGTGTCATCTTTGGGAGGAGATGGAATGATCACTTTATTGGGTTTGTCGCTGACGGTCCTGGAGGCGGCCAGGCAATGCGTGTAGTAAGCATCAATGTCATGTCTTTTCTGGTAGTGTGCCGCAAGCCCTTTGCGGATAGGGTTGGTGTAGGAACACAGAGCGCACTTGAAGAGGTTGTTCTTGCCCTCTGGCTGTGCCCGCACATTGTTGTGTTTGATGCGGTAGTGCCTGGCTATACCCTTCCGGGTGGAACAGAAGTACTTGCAGAGCTGGCATCGGAAAACTGTGTGAGACACTAAGTGAGAGGTGGAGAAATGAGGTGCAGGGACAGCGATTTCTCCGATATCCTCAACAGAAATCTCTGGGGAGGCCTTGATTTCAGTCACTATGTCTGGCTCCACTGAGGCAGTCACCTTTGGCGGTGACTGGGCAAAAACATCAAATTCAGGCTGATTGTGGTATTTCTCATAGTGAATTTTAAGCTTCTCCAGTGTACCATGGGTGTAAGGACACAGTTTGCACCGATAAGCACCATAGCCTTGCTTGAAAATCCTGCTTGTCTCTTCCACATCATTCTGAGTGATGTCAGTTGACTGTTCCACATCATGCACAAAGTCTTCAGCAGTGACCTTTATTGATGGGTGCCGTTTCTGGTAGTGTGTGAGGACACCATGAATGCGTGTATTAATGTATGGGCAATGTCTACACTTATATACAGCTCCTGGGTTAATATCTATGTCCTGAGCAAAGTCTGCAGCTTTTACTTTCATGCCAGGATGCTTTTTGCCATAATGTGTCAGGAGACCATGCAAGTTGTTGTACTCAGACTGACACACTGTACACTGATACGGAGTGGAGGAAATGGCAGGGTTTGCAGATGCCAGCTGGACAGTTTTTTCCTGGGAAAGACTAGGGTCCTCTGTGCATTCTGCATCCTGATCCATCTGTGATGTTGTAATCTGGTCTTCAGAACTGATCCTGGCCCCAGCTTCATCAGGCGGCAGGCCAGATTTGTCAGCAGCATCTTTCTCCTTAATGATATCTAACAAAACAGATTCATCCCCATTCATGGCCCAAGGGTGAAAAGCTTGGTAGTGATTAGTAATATCCCAAATGGAAGATGCTTCAAAAATGCAATCTCTGCATTTATAAGTCTTTGTCTCTGTTGGCATCACCAGAGCAGGAGGGGAAGGGTCGGGACCTGCCCAGAGTTTGGTTGCCATGTATGTGTAGTCAACATAATGCTCAGGATGTCTCCTTTGGTAATGCACAAGCAAACCACTTGGCTCTGTGTGTGAATAAATGCACCATTCACAGTGATAACCAGCATCTATCAAGCCATCCAAAAATGCCCATCTCAGAATGGATGTTACTGTGGCCTTCAGAGTTGGGTGGTCTTTCTTGATATGCTTCCTCAGTGCATAGAAGTAAGGGGAGGTGTAGCTACACTGCCTGCATTTGAGGGCTCTTAGCTTCGACTTGTCCCGCTCGGTGCTGGAGGTGTGAGCAGGCATGCTGCCAGATGACTTCTTCTGGCTGCGATCACAAAGGCTTCTAATGGTGGCTGTATGCTGTCTAATCACATCTGCGTTAGCTTTGAAGTCACGATGCTTCTTTTGATAATGAATGAGCACGCCTTTCACGGTTCGGTTTCCATAATCACAGTGCTGGCAGAAGAACATTTCATTCTCGGGAGGATTCACAGAGCTCTCGGAGCTGCCCCGGGTCAACTGCATTGATACTGGTGGCCTCTGAATACCAGGTGGCAACTCACCAGCCCTCATCATGGCTGCAGTGGGGGGTGCCTGCCTAATATATTTGGCAGTAACCTTTATTTCAGGGTGTCTTTTCTGGTAGTGGACAAGTACTCCCACAACTGAGCGGTTGCTGTATGAGCAATGTTTGCAATAGTAGAGTTCAGAAGAAAGGTCTGGGGGTGGAGGTGGTGGAGGTGGAGGCTGTGAAGCCAAATTAGACAGTTTGGGAGAGACAGGTGTCCCCATCTCAAAAGACATCTGAGCCAGGGCAGAGCCCCTCTCAACAGAGACTACACGCATAGTCTTCTGAATTCTGAAATAGGATGCTTTTTCTTCAGGGTGCTTTTTCTGGTAATGCACGAGAACTGAATGCATGTTGGGGCTTGCAAATGAACACACATCACAGTCATAAACCACTACAGTATTGACTGAAGGCTCCTTCTGATTTTCACATTCAGGACTAAAACTCTTGGTGGCACTTTTGGTAAAACCAGCTGGCATACCAGCCCCACGAGCCACAGGGGTGGAGGTTGCCATAGTTTTTGGAGCAGAATTCAAGATTTCTCTCAGTGTCTGAGACTCCGTGGTCAGCCCTTCTTGCTGTTCAACAACATAGCTTGAAAATATCATTGCATTGTTAATTTTCACTGTAGGATGCATTCTTTGGTAATGTGGCATCAGGCTTCTAACATTTGGGCTTGTGTAAGAGCAGAAGCGACAACGGTAGATCAGATCAGAGTGATCGAAGTTCAATACATTCATAGCTTCAGGGTGATGCTCTCCATAATGCTGCTGTAGGTCTTCAAAGTTTGTGTAGTCAATATAGCACTCCAGACATCGGTACACCGCGCTGTGATCATTGGGATCCAAGATATATCTAAAGCTGAATTTAATATAGGGGTGCATCCGTTGGTAGTGGGTGCTTACACTCCTGGCAGATTTGTTGCTGAAATCACAGTGTTTACAATAATAAAGCCTACCAGAGTCACTAAACTCTGTGGTCTCATTGTTCTGATCAGCACCATATATGTTTGACTGGCTCCCCAGAACAGAGGCATTAGGGCTCTGATGTTCTTTCATGCTGACAGAAGAATAATAATCTTCTTCATCTTCAGATAAAGTGAGCTCAATCTCTGCTCCATTGGTGGAATTATAATCATGCTGCATGCTTCTAAAGTTTGCCTCTTTCTGGGTATCATTAGCCTCTCTTCCCCACATTTGCTGGGTTGTGTAAGAACTGGAAACCTCTATCATTGGTTCTGTTTGCTCTTCTTCTCTGTCCAGCTCCACTTCTATCTCCACTTCATTGTCTTCTTCCTCTTCCTCATCATCCTCTACATTAATCACAGCATCTTCTTGCTGTTTGTTTTGGTTGATTTTGCTCTGCAAGTTGCTTGCAATTTCATCAATTCTAGTTCTCTTTTTCACAGGTGAGAGATCCAAAGGAAAGTCATTTGACACCTTCCGAGGGGCCTTCGCAACAAAGTTATTTTTAGATGAGAGACCAAGAATCGAGGTCTGGCTTTTCTTCACTGTGCTTGCAGAGGTGTGTGCATCTGCCTCGCTGTCTTGTGGCGTGTTAGACGGTGGTCCATCATACTTTGGCAAGTTGTCACAGAATGAGTGCTTGTGCTGCTGATGAACTCTGAGGCCTTTCAAAGTTGTGGTAGAATAGTTGCACATTGTGCACTTGTAGGGATGCTGTGAATGAGGCTGGGGTGACTGCTGCTGTTGCTGTGGCACTGGTTCCATCATCCCAGCTGACTTCCTTCCATTTATACTTCCAGTCTCATAAGACACTGTGCTGTCATTCAAAGAAGAGGCAATGCTCTCGCTCTGAGAGTTTACAGTGTCCCAGTCTGCTGTTGCACCTGTATGACACTGCTTATGGGCTCCAAGCTTTAATGAACTCTTGCAAGTAAAAGGGCACTCATCACACTTGTATACAGCTGTCTTCCCAGAGAGATGGATGTTCTCAATGTGACGGGAGATGCTCCGGCGATGCATTGTCAGGAAAGGGCAAAAAGGACACTGGAACCTGTTCATATATCTTCTAAAGGGAATTCCTTTTGTCTCCAATAGCTTGTTGCCATCAGAACCCATCAGTTGCTCTGCAGACATTCCTGAGGTCTGGTGATCCATGGAGTTCAAGCCATTCTCGCTGTCCATTTCATTTAGCTCTTCATCTGAGCTGGAGTCATTTAGCATACTGTTTGTTTCCAGGTCAGCAGAAGAATTTGTCATATCAGCAATTCCATAGCGGGATCTGTCGGACAAATTAACCATGCCCGAGTTGTGAGGTGACTTGGGCTTCATCTGAGGATAAGATACCGAAGAAAATTTGGAGGATGTAGAAGAGTTTGACCTAATAAGAGAATTGCTCATAGAACTTCTGAAGTTTGAGACATTAGCATTTGGCATCTCGCGCCCTGCTGTATTCATGGCGATATAATTAGAGTTTGGGGAGGCATTCTGGGCACTCTTACTCTGCACATCAGGTGCACCAGTTCCTTCTTGTTGCTGCCTCAGACTTGAAAGTATTTTTACCATGCTGCGGTGCTTCTTCATCATGTGGTCACACCAGCGCTCCCTTCGAGGTGTCTGGTAACTGCACCATTCACAGCAAAAATTGCCTCGGGATTTTGTTAGGGGCTTGACCATGGATTCCAAAATGCTCCTCTCAACAACCTCAGCAGGTAGCTCTTTGCAGGGCTCCTGCATGGCCATGGAGGCAGACGGCGACTCAGATATAGCAGCAGCAGGTGGAGTTGAACTCTCTTTCAGGTTGTTCTTGTGATACATTTTCTGGTGCTTAATAATCCTTGCACGTCTAGGTGATTTATAGGTGCAGAACTGGCAAGAGAAAACTTTGCCAAACCCCTCATGCATCATGATGTTGTAGTTTAAGGAACCAGCCGTTGGTGGCCCAACTGAGCTTCCCCCAGCCTGTGCTCCATGAACCTTGCGTGTGTGCTCAATAAGAAGGTTTTTGGAACGGAAGTAACGCACACAGAATTTGCATTGGAAAAACTTGTTGGTTGGTTTAGGATTTGGAGCCATATGCTGACCATAGAAACTCTGGCTCTGGCTATAGTAACTTCCAGTCCCCATCTGAGTTGCTGCATTTTGCCCTAAAATAAGAGTTAAAGCGAATATGTAAATAAATAAAACCAGCTGTTTTATTATTTTTTACCTCCACTCAATCTGTATGCAATACTACCACATTCTGAATCAATAAAATCACACCAGAGATTTTATTTATRGTGAGACCTATCATATAATAATGAGAAAATTAACCATTATGCATAATATGTATATATGCATGACCATAATATAAAACCTAGGATGGTCTTCCAAAATAATCTGCATAAGTAGACGGGGGGAAGCTACTATGCTGATAAAGTTCAAAATCTTGGGGTCATTCTTGGTGATGAAGAACAACCATGAAGATCTGCAAACCAAAAATCAGTACGAACGACCACATGAAAAGCTGTTGGGAAACAAACCCATTCTCCATAGTGGTTTTTACAGGAGAAAAAAAGAAGATCAGAACTAATACGGCAAGAACTAGACAGTATATTCTTTGCTGCCATAGCAATATAGATGGAATTTTTTAAATCCCACTAGAAGTACAAATTAAAATAAGCCACGTGTGAAATAGAAGGTTAGAGTTCAGATTTACCTGCTATTTCATCTGCAATTGCAAATTCATCCTTTACAGAAGAAAATTCAACCTCAGTCTGGTTGCTAGCATTTATGGAGCCAGACCTTGGCTGGGTTGGGCTTTCTTCAGAGACATCTGTTGGCTGCAGAAAAGCAGTGTGAACATCTTGAATGTGAGCTTTTAGGTCTTCATAGGATGGAGCTCGAAAATCGCAGCCATCACACTGCAGCACCTCCATGGTTCAGGGTTAATCTTTTACATTAGAAAATTCTGCAAGAAAAAGAGAGAAGTAGAGAATAAGAGATGTGTTTTACATAAATGCCACTCTAGTAAATTTTGAAATTATATAATATCAAGCTTATGATGACTTAGTAATTTACAGAAATTCCATAAGTACTGTAGTGTAAAACTCAAACTTTGCTAGGTATCTTAAGGTATCAATTCACTTTGCTAGGTATCTTAAGGTATCAATTCACTGAAAGTCCTATCTAGGTGGTTCACAAGTTGCTGACTCAACACCACAAACATTCAGCTGTCTGACAAATGACTATTGATTCAGTGGACTTCGTCCTCTTGGCCTTCCCATCCCACAGGACAGGGCTGTTGTTCTGAAGTCTGTCTCGTTCAAAGACCAGATAAGGGTATGCAAGAGAAACAGCACATTACTCTCAGTCATGCACTGAAATTTATCAGTAACAGTGGTTTTTGCCTCTTTGAGTGTCCTCTGACACTTCAACATTTTCGTTGGTTGCAAAGTTCTGTGTGCTTTACTACTAGAGTTTAAAAGCTCCCACAGATACATACTTGCATTCTACTCAACATCTGATTGTGCTTGACCTTGTTGGAAAACCTGGTTATTACTTCAAGATGAACTAAATGTATCCAAGGTGGTATCCAAAGCAGAATGGATTACTCTGCCTTACTTCCTCCAAGCTTTGTGAGGGCATCTCCATTCTTGATTGAAATCTAGGGCTTAGATCCTTGGTGGATTAGGAATCTGGAGAAAGGGGATGTCTGAAGGAACAGATTAACAGCAGTGGGAACAGGAAATCTGAATAGGGACAATGGAAACATGAATAATAAAATAACACAAATTCATCTGAAGGCCCTGCATATTTTAAAGCACCAAGTAACATAAGGTTTGGCAGTATCAACTATCAGGATGGGAATAAGGAATTGTGCATCACAGAGCAGTGATGGTATTTGTTATAGAACTCAAAAGTTTTACATCCCATCATGAAGGATAATACACTCAAAACACAAACAAGATGGAAGGCTGAGATCTTCCTACTTTCCATAGCACTTGGAACAAGAGTAACTTCCTAAATTAATTACTTCTTTAAGTTTCCATAAAGCTCCTTGCTGCTCTGGCCAGATGAGCTAGCCATTCTTGAGATTCATGATGCAAGTTCAGCCCAAAATATTGAAAATTCCATGTATTTTGTGTAGAGTCTGAAGCTACCTCACCAGAAAGGAGAAAACATTAGTGTACAGAAACAAAAGAGGACACAGCACCAGGATTTTAATAAGAGAAAGCTTCTCCTGGTAGACTGCTAAAATAAACTTTCAGCAAGTCAAAYTCTGGACAGTCTGAACACACAGGCACTCCACATATTTACCTACATTACTTGTGGGCTGCAATGTCTCCTTTCTCTCTCCCCCTCATTTTCTCCCACCACCAATAAAGAAAATGAATGCTGCACCAGCTTCTTTTCAGCTAACAAAGTTACAATAATCGAGATACTCAAGCTTTTATGTGCAAGCACCAGACCAAATTGTGTGGAAGAGGTTGCTATCTGCTCTGGATCAAATTACAGCAGTGAGTGAAGCCCCACCCCACGTCTCCTTTAGCACAGTCCATTAGACCTGAAAACAAATTTTTCCATGGAGCAGACGACTCCTGCATTTAGAGCACTTCACAGAAAAGCAGATCATCCAGTTTTCACTACCCATCCCCCAAGCTTAGTCCTTTCATCTCAGCCAAACAAGCCACAGCTCTGCTGAATGTGTTTATCACACTTTCAAGAGATATGAGCCCCTGCGTCACTGAAGCTTTAAGACTCACTAAGCTGCCCTAGTCCTCTGAGCTTTGGGAGCAGCCATTTTAGCTCAGACAACTCCTGCACTCAGAGGCTCAGAGCTTCTCGCCTGTGCACAACATGGCCTCACTTATCTCAGCTCCATCTCAAGCACACCAGGGTTTTCCTTTCTCCCCCCGCCTTTTTTCCTCCTCCTCCTTCTTCTCCTTGGGTGATGCTTGAAAAATCAGCCTCTCCAAAGCACAGCTTCTCTTCTCCTGTGTAGCTTGCTCCCAAAACCATGTAGCTGCTGTCCCCGCACGCTGCCCAGGCAGCACCTTCCCTCCGCTAAGCAGGTCACCCAAAAGCATCTCTCAGGCTTGGTTCCCCTGTCCCATGGATGACACACACCACGCTTTGTGCCAGCATTACAGCATCAAGACACTGGTCCAAGCTGTCCTACAGACAGAGACAACACACAGTCGAACCTCCCAGAAGGAGGAGGAGGAGGAGGCGGTGGGGGAGGCAGGCGGGGGGCCTCCAGCCTGCCCTGTCCCTGGGGAGCCCTCCTGCTCGGCGCAGAAGACACACCACCCCACTCCCCTGCCAGATTCCAAAGTCTAATGACCTTTGTTAATCACCAGCCAGCCTGTCTGCATCAGCAAGCCCTGCCAGCAGACACACCCTTCAACACAAAGGCTGTAGCTATGCCTTTTAAGAGAGGTTCTCTGAAAGCTCCATTGTGTGGAAGAGAGGAAAAACAACACACACACAGACATACACAAATCTCCCTCTCTCTCTCTGTTTCTCCCCCCTGAAAACTTCAGCCCCTTCAGAAACACCACCACAAAAAAAGCTTTCTGCTTTGTGTCTCTTTTGGAAACTTCAGACCAGCTTTACAAAACGGGAAATCAAGAAGGGAGGGCAAACCTGAAGTTCTGAAAAGGATAAGCTTGACYGATTCAGAGGTAAAAAGCACCATCATCCCCATCCCTGGCAGTTCCAATTCTTTAAAATGCAGCTTTCAGAAGCTGTCCTCAAGGATGCAGCTTGTTGTCTAGACAATCTCAAACCAGTAGTACCCTTCTTCTGCTACAAAGCAAAATGTTGAGAGTTGAAAGACTGGTAAGAGCTGCCGACCATAAAAATATGCTGAAGAAGCCTTTCTAGGAGGTTCTAGCTTTCATGTCAGTATGGTCTCTATCACAAAGGCAGCACCAAGTCATGTAAGAGGTTAATCTTACAGCAGCTGAGAAGAGCAARCATCAGGTACAGCTGAATGGCCTTCAAATTGATGCTTTCACCAAGAATCATGCTGAAAGCAGGCTGAAGTGTTTTGTTAGGAATTCTGCTCTACTATTTGCACACTTTTTCCTTTAAAATTCAGACTTCATAGAAAGGGGGGAGAAAAACACAGAAACTACCAGTTTGAACTCATTTATCAAAAGAAACTGAAACACAATGCATGTCTTTCTCTCCTTTTTTTTTTTTTTTTCCTGTCTGTACGGGATATGGAACTCAAGAGGGACTCTCCAACCCAACGGCAAAGAGGAATTCCAGTGCAGATGCTAAGACGACACCCCAAGAAAAGGAGACAAAGAACAAGATTTGCACATTTGTCCAGCATGACCAGCTATGGCAGCACCTTCCATACACACAAACGACAGTTCCTTCTGCGTTTCGTTTGCTCAATAAAACCTGCATTCCATAATCCCTTTAATTTTCAAACAGCACAAGGGCAAGACTTAGGGGGGATGGAGGTGGAGTGGGATGGGGGGAGGGGAAGTTACTAAATCTGCTAAATCAAAAGCAGAACAGGAAGTCTGGGGAGGSAAAGAAAAAAAAAACTACCATAAAATGAATCCATAAATCCCACAAGTCCTCTAAAATATTCACAGCCAATCTCTCGAGACAACATTGCCCACACATAATGTGGCTTATAAAATACCCCTGCTCATGTGAGGGTAGCCCCATGAAGCAGATGATAAAATACCTGTATCCAGATACTTACAGTTTTTTCTTAAGGTAGATGTCTCTACTGTTTACCACAGAGAAGATGTGTGCTCACTTCTCTCATGAGGGGAAAACTTACCAAACATGGGGAGAAAACTTTCCAGATACTGACCAAAAGCAGCTCACAAAGCTGCATAAAAACCCAAGGTGGAATCTCAAATCATCCTCAACCTCTTGCACTCCACTTAGGAACATATGAGGAGCACATCAGAAACACAGTTGCATTAGATTTCTAGGTTTTGAAGAAGCCAAAACAAAAGATAATTGTGCTTGTTGAATAACAGTCATTACAGAACTTGGCAGCAGCCGGAGTAGTACAAATCATTATGTTTAAGTTTGGTCTTAATGCTTCAAAATACAAAATTAATTGCGAAGCCCAAGGCACTGACCTCAAAAATTGAGCTTCTGTGGCTGACTACCCATCCGTTACATTCAGGGATGAGAAGTCGGCAGCGCTGCTCGAAGTCCAGAACAAGGCGCACGTGGCGCAAACCACAGCGGGAAGGGCCAGGCGGACCACACGCACAGACGCGCACACCCCACAACACCACCACACTCAAAAGGAAGAGGTTTTCCACAATCTCAGAAGCTCTCTGTGATACCCTGAGGGACCAGACACTCCCTCAGCTCCAGGCCTCAGGCCCAGGTCACACACGCACACCTCAACCACACCATTCTCAGGGGATGCCATGCACCAATGGCCTCTTTGGAGCAATCTTCTCAGATCCCCACTTCAGACACTCAGTTTTGGCCTGATGACAACGACAAGCTGCCCCTTGGGCTTCCGCTGCTCCCAGTTCCTCCACGTCGCGTGACGTGATGCGACACATTACCTCACAGCGCACTGCTCATGTCACGGCTCAGTGCTGACACCAGCGGCCCACCTCAGCCTCCTAACTTACAGACCTTACTAACTTACAGACCACCAACAAAAATAAGGAGGGAAAGCTTCTGTGCCTTATAGGAACTACACAGTTTTCCACAAAAAATGAACCTGGTGGCAGTGCTGATGGGCAGAGGCCAACCCCGTCATAGCCATGGTGGTGTGAGGAAGCACCAGCAGGTGCAGCCAGGAGGTCCCCACAGCAGCGGCTGTTCTCCACTCGGGCCTGTTCRTTAACTAACACACTACTAACTGATTCACTTAGGTTTGGGGACCTTAAAAATATGGCTACAGAGGATAACAATGTGGGAAAACAAAAGGGACTAAAAACCATCTATACACCTGAGAAACTGGAA